GTAGTAAAGAGAGGGATCGTTAGTAGTGCCATAAAACTATGAGGAAAGTGAGGGAGAAGGCGAGAAGGAGGTCAGCTAGTAGTCTGTGTGTGTGGTGATGATGGTGTGATGACTGATGAGTTGATCGTTCTTAGGGGGAAACGCAATCAGAGTAGCATAATAACAGACATAGACAATTTACAGAAGGAGCGAAAAGCTAATGACGTGGATCAAAGATCCCGTGATCGAGTGGATGAATATTTTAAGAGTGATCAATTGTGGGGCCACGGAAATCAATAGTGCAAAACGCTTGGCTGACTGACGGGTATGTCTGCAGTTAAATTTCAACCACATATCTTCCATTCCTTAATGGCATCGAATTGACTGTGATCTATTGCCTTCAATTTGATAATGTGCCTTAAATTATATTTTAAGCTTGGCAAGTTTCGGATATGAAGTTAGTGTGCCTTCGTATAACTTCCCATATGGCGGTTTTCATTACAATGCTATTTTCATCAACCCCCAGTGCTAACAGTAGCATGAAGTTAGCAGCGGAGAGATTTGCAGTGCATTTTAAATACACTCATCTCCATCTGTTTGCGGTGGTTACTGTGCCTGACACTCCGTGCAGTATTAAGGCTATCGCTTTCAGTGCTTCACCTAGACCCAACCGGCATGTTCTTACGTGTTGCTTTGGTAATATCGCAACCAGAAATGCACACCTCATAACATTATTGTTCCGATGCGCAACTCTTCCATGAAAGAGAATCGGGATCTCCAGAAGTAACACAATTGTAAAATCTGTAATTACTTTGGTATTTGACAATGGTGCAAGTGGACAGTCTACTAGTAGAGGATTTTCGCAATGGGCTAATAACTCCAAGTATTTCACTCTGAGTAAGGAGGTGGTTGAGGTGGAACCTGAGGCATCGGTTGATACGGCTGTGGCGGACCAGAGTAGGTGGGATACTAGAGAATACGTACCTTGATAAACATCTATCATCTTTTTAAATGAATTAAAAGATTACTTACGGGTTGCTGCTCATTGGTAAGGCGATTGTTGTCGGTGGGCGCCACAGCCTTTTGGAGAAATTTGAGTTGGAATGCAAAACAGAAGGATGCTACTCCACCGAAGAGGAACAACAGGCCCAACATGACTAGAGCAATTCCACCCGAGTAACGGCTATGGGATAGGCGCATAAAAGGCTCATTTCTTATAACAACTTGACTTAAATTCTACCATTAAACAAGCTTCATGAGATATGTAGAAACCGAATACACTCCTGCGTTGGTAAATCAGCAAATTCAAGTTCTTTAAACAGTGCGAATTCTTTGGAGACCTTGAGGTCTGAGGAGAGACGTTGGTAATAAATAAATAACATAAGTAAAAGTCTGAAAATCCACATAATATTGTCAAATCACACTTTTCTTTTGAACGTCTCCCTATCCTCCTTCTGCTTGAACAATGGAAATGCAGAACAAACAAATGAAAAATGGGAATGAAGATGCCAAGGTGATCGCTGTCACCAATCTGCATTAACGTCAGATCGGCGGCATTAGTTATTGCGCCAACGTTGTAAACGATCTTCGGTGATGAATTTTATACTGATTTCAGCCCCCATGAAATCCACTTTAGGTAGTAGAAGTGGGGCTAATGGTATTTCCTCAATGAGTTCGGTAGACATTTCTACAACTATCCATCACCTGTTCGTACAATCTAATCAAATAGCAAGAGAGTAGAGAAGACATTAAGCAACGAGTAGAAGCAAGAGGAATTTACCTTTGTCTGATGCTTGCCTCCTCAAAACTCTCGTTGTCAACATCCCAAGTACCGGAATTTTTAGAAATTAACACAGCTCCTGTGATGATGAAACATAGGCTTAAAAATACGAGGCAGCAAGAGAGGATTTTGCAGATCTTTTCGTGAGTATCGGCCCACTCTCCAAGGACACTCTGAACTTGTCCCATTGATAACTTCTATAATTTACAAAGAAATGCTTTACTCCAACTTTTATTTGTAGACAGGATAGTTAGAATTCGTCTCTTTTGAACCGTCTTTGAGATGCCGCGTTGGCTTTAAAAATCGCATACAGAAGAACACTACCTTTCATTTGTAGTCGTTGCAATATTTCGAATATCTGTCCTCGAGACTCACCCTAAGGGCAAATTAAAATAAGCGAATACTAATCCACTTGCCACAAAATAAATCTACCTCACAAAGACATGCACTTAGCGCAGGCGGTAATGAATTGTGACAGAGCTGAGAGAAGGCGAGAGTAACTTCTGCTGATGCAAAGGTGTATGAGAATTAATCAAGATCCGCGCACTGAAAGCATTGGCCTTGAAGTGGACCTAACGGGAAAACTGTTTGCGAAGCGGAATAATTTGTAGCTAGTAGGAATGACACTCTGGATCCTGAAAGTGCTCTAAGTCGCATGTTAACTCTGGCACTTTTATAATACACAAAACAGTTATGAAAGCGAGGATGTAGAGGCTGAACCGTCTGCTATACTTGTCCCCAAAATACATTATTTATGGCAATAAAAGAATCCGCGAATCACACAACTGTCACCTAAATAGTATACTTGTGTAGTTCTTGTAAGTGATAACCAACTCCTGAGATTGTTTCTTCGAAAGACGCAATCGGACCACAATTGCGTAAGATAAAGGACCTCACCGTTGACTAAAAAAGTCTAAAAAGTGCTCAGCAGGTTTGAGGGTTGTGACGCCTATTGTGATCCCACAAAAAGGGATAAAACGATTGTCCAAAACCGTTCTCTACGTCCCCTTCTTCTCTAGAAAATTTGAGACGCTCTTAATTGCATCATAAAGCGGTATTGATGCGGGCGGGTCGTTAAAGGGTGAGTAAATTATAGACAACTTTAGCGATAAGGAGTTTTAAGTGTGACAAATGTTTTGTAATAGCCCATCGCCTCCAATTTGGGAACCATGAGGCTGGAAACATGAAAACACAAACACAAATGGTATAAGCTAAGTACCATTACCTTTCAAGGAGAATTTGGCAAACCCGCAAAATAATTTGCAAATTTGCCGATAAATATTTCATGTAAACAGGAAAACAGATTCGCCTCACCTTTGCAATTCGCTAGAGAATGAGCCCTGCTAGCGGTGGCTTTCAAAGCCAGCCGAAGTAACCAATTAGAGAGCGGCAAAAAGACAGCAACTGAGCCAATGGGGCGCGCATTGCTGCCAAGCTCTGATTGGGCATTGCTTCCACCTCCAAATCCAACGGTGTGGACGTCAAAGTCGTCGCAGTTTGTAGTTCATGAGGTCTTTCATTGCTTCCACAAAGCATCAGGGAGCATCATGTTTATCTCCACTAGAAGGCCATTACGTAACCAATTTGGTGAGCTGAAGATCAAATATTGGACAGAATGAAAGGCATGGAAACTAAATATTGTCACAACATTAATAAAAAC